TAGGGAAAGGAATGCCCTGAGTAAGTTGGCCTGGGTTTAGCCCCACTCCCATGCCAGTGTTTCGTAGGATCACCTCCCTCAGATGTACTTGTAACAGATGTTGTTGGTGCCCTGCCCAGCTCCCCCTGGCCAGCTGCTGAGCATGTTAATTGTCAACAGCCCATAAACGCACCTATCTCAGGATTGCTCTTGGCTGATGGGTACTCCCTAGCCCAGAGGTGCCTAAGAGGTTCCATTCTGCTTCTTTCAGGGAATCAATCATTTCTCCAATGAGCCCTGATGGCTTTGTAATGGAGAATGGTATGGTAGTTAGAAACCAAGGTCTGGGTATGGGATTAACTAATTGGCCCGTCTTCAAGTGTGCTGATTCATTCTTCTGCCAGTGCTAATGTGCTACTGAGACTCTCTAGTGAATCTTTCATTTCATTTATTGTTCTCTCCAACTCCAGAATTTATAGTGTTTCTTTTCAAAAAATAAGTTATATTTCTTTACCGATATTCTCTACTTGGTGAGACATCATTGTCATTACATGCCTTTCGTTCTTCAGACTTAGTTTCCTTTAGTTCTTTGAACATATTCATATAAAAAATCTTTTCATACAAACATTATACATATATAAGCTATCTCTCATATATAGATATAGATAAAGATATGGATCTAGGTATAGATAAATATAGATATAATAGATTCAGGCATCTCATGTCTTCCCTAGATATACACACCACCCTGCACATGTGTGTGGCCTTCTAGATTTCCAAGATAATATCAGAGCTTTTGAAAACTCCCATGGGCACATCAGTCCCCAGTTTTTCCTTTCAAGTTTTTGGTTAGTTTCTTGGTTGTTTCAGTTATTATCGTCACCTCAAGTGGCTGCACTATTAAGCAACTGCAATATTAAACAAAAGCCATGTCATTGCTTTTGACATTCCCCCCCTCCCAGGGGAAAAGGCTATTCACAGTAAGCTTGGGTTGGGGAGAGGAAAGAGGAAATAGGACAATTAAAGCCACACATCTCACTGTTCCTACTGAAATCTGGATGTTTTGCTTGAATAAATGCTCCTTGGATTATTGCATGCCTTTGGTTAATTTCTAGATTTCTGAAAAAGTTGATGTTGATAAATGTTGCCAGTGTTCTCACTGCTTTTGTGAAGAAGTCAGTTTTTGAGATTCTTCCTCCACCATTCCAGAAGTGGCTTTAAAAATAAAATTGTCTTTATGTTTTCTATTTAATTGATTTCTGCTCTTATGTTTATTGTTCTTTCCTGCTTCTTACTTTGGTTTTAATTTTCTTCCTAGTTTATTAAAATTGAAATTTAGATTACTGATTTGAGAGTTTTTTCTTATAGAAGGATTTTTTTTAAAAGATTTTATTTGGGGCGCCTGGGTGGCTCAGTTGTTAAGCATCTCCCTTCCGCTCAGGTCATGATCCCAGGATCCTGGGATGGAGCCCCTCATCGGGCTCCCTGCTCCGCAGGAAGCCTGCTTCCTGTCTCCCACTCCCCCTGCTTGTGTTCCTGCTCTCGCTGTGTCTCTCTCTGTCAAATAAATAAATATTTATTTATTGGGGATGCCTGGGTGGCTCAGTGCGAGAGAGAGAGAGAGAGAGAGAGAGAGAGAACAAGCAGGGAGAGCGGCAGGCAAAGGGAGAGGGAGAAGTAGGCTCCCCACAGAGGAGGGGGAGCCTGATATGGGATTCGATCCCAGGACCCTGGGATCATAACCTGAACTGAAGGGAGTCACTTAACCAACTGAGCCACCCAGGCGCCCTATAGAAGCATTTTATACTATAAATTTCCTTTTAAGCATACCCAACATTTTGATACATTGTATTTTCCTTTTCATTCAGTTTAAGATATTTCCTAATTTCCATTATGACTTCTTTTTGAAAAATTATTTAGATGTTAAATACCAAATACTTGGACTTTTCCAGATCCATTTCTGTTTTGGTTTTTTGTTTTGTTTTGTTTTTTAAAGATTTTATTTATTTATTTGACAGAGAGAGAGCGAGAGAGGGAACACAAGCAGGGGGAGTGGGAGAAGGAGAAGCAGGCTTCTCGCTGAGCAGGGAGCCCAAAGTGGGACTCAATCCCAGGACCCTGGGATCATGACCTGAGCCGAAGACAGACGCTTAACGACTGAGCCACCCAGGCGCCCCTTGTTTTTTGTTTTTTTAAAAAGATTATTTATTTATTTATTTGTCAGAGAGAGAGAGAGAGAGCACAAGCAGGGGAAGCAGCAGACAGAGGGAGAAGCAGGCTCCTTGCTGAGCAAGGAGTCCAATGTGGGACTCGATCCCAGGACCCTGGGATCATAACCTGAGCTGAAGGCAGATGCTTAACCAACTGAGCCACCCAGGCATCCCCAATCCTTCAACTTTTAAACTATCTTTATATTTAAAGTGGGTTCCTTGTAGGCAACATATATTGGATTTTTTAATCTCATCGGACAATCTCTGATTTATAATTGGAACGTTTATACCTCATGGCCCCTTCCTCCATCCTCAAAGTTGGGGAGAGAGAGAGTTAAGCAGAAGTCAATCCTATTATTCCTCATAAAACTATTTCATTCAGGAGGATTTCTTCCTGGAACCACGGTGAGTTCAAGGGATATTTATTAGGCACAAAGCACGGACACCGTGGGACCCAGAAGAGTTTTTGAAGAACTATAGTGATGTTCCTTTTCTTATGCTTTCCTGAAGTCTTATAGTGAGGACAGCCCAAGTGAGCTATAAAGTACCAACTGGGGAAGGGAAAGGAAGTGTGATGAGCTATTCTGATGTGGTTCCGCATTGCACTGCTTTAGGTATGAAAAAATTAGGGAAGGGGCTGGGGTGGGAGTAGATCTAAGGAAGCAGCACAATTCAAAAGAGAGCTCACAGAGTTGAGTCAGAACATCTTAAATATAAGTCCAGGCTCTATGCTTCCCAGTCATGTGAAAAATTTAATTAATGTATTGATTTATAAATATGTGAAATGGAGGTGATAATACTAACCCTTCATGATGGCTTGTACAAGTGCTTTCTAAGCAAAACGGTTTCTCCAAATGATGGTGTTATTTTAGGGAGAACACTGATGTCAACTCTGAACCATCCTGGTTGGGGATGAGGGTGGTAGGTTTGCTGGTGATGGTTCAAGGGATTTTGGCCTTTATACTGTGTAATCCAAACTTCTGACTCTTAACAAGATGTTAGTATATAAGTGGGGTGGGGAGCACATCATTCTTGATATTATGGTACGAACTCCGTCCAGAATCAGATAAAAGCCATGAACTTGTTCCAGAAAATGCACCCCACAAAATTCTAGGTAAAGAGTTCATAGACCTCTTGAACCTCACTCCTGGACCCCCGTTTTAAGAATCCTGATATATAGATACCAGTAAACAAAGAGAAAAGATAAAAATCTAGTTTATCAGTATAAAAATAATTCAATTATGGTTCCTTAAATAATTTATATTTCCATACCATGTGATACAGTACCTATTTTGCTTATAATATGTCAGATTGACATTGCTATAAGTTTGATTTGGCTATAAACTAAACTCTTGATGCATGCTCCACCTTTGTCATTTGTTGTTCATATGGCATAGTGTTGTCTATTTACAACTTTAAAAGGAAAAATTAGAGGGTGGCTGGTTGATGGACACTGGGGAGGGTATGTGTTGTGGTGAGTGCTGTGTATTGTGTAAGACTGAGGAATCACAGACCTGTACCCCTGAAACAAATAATACGTTATATGTTAATAAAAAAAATAAAAATTTTAACCAAAAAAAAGAAAAGGAAAAATTAGACCATTTCTTAAGAGCTAGTATTCTGAAGCCTCCATAGTTCTATCTGTTGAAATAATTATTTCTCATGTTGGAGACTGTGTGCTCTTATGGAATAAAGAGCTCAGTGGTAGGTGAGAGGCTGCAAGGCAGAGCGGAAGGTGTTTAGGCTTCAAAAGAAGGACCTGGGCTGGAATCCCAGCTCCTTCACCCCTTAGGAGAGTTCAACCTTAGTAAACCCTTTAAGCCCTGGCCTTGCTTGACTTCATCCATTACATGGGAATAACAATGCCTACTTAAGGGGTTTCTTCGAGGATTAGGGACAATGTAAACAGAGTGCCCAGGCTGTATTAGATCCCAAGTAAATGGCGCTATTATTACGGTGAGTCCTTGGTGTTACACAACGGCAGCCATGCTGCCCAGGACTCCCAATGCCATATAATCAAACTGGCATGAGATTACTGAGTTCAGGGGACAACTGCTTACTGTCTTGAGGGAGTGACAAATGTCAAAGGCTGGTAACTGTTGACATACCCCAAGGTGCCAGGGAGCCAGACTCCAGGTTATGATGGGGCTTGCTTTGATAGTCCAAAGAAGCATGACTTCTGAATAGCACTTTGTTGACTTTTCAGGAGGCCAGTAGAGTATCTTAAGGTGGCTTAAAAATCCGGAACTAACACATACAGGGGGAAAAACGAGTTCAATAATAACAAATTTTCCTTCCTTACTGTTAGCTTCCTTGTTTCTTCTTTCTCCGGCTCAGTGAATACCAACACAAGGACTACACTTTTTTTGTTTTCTTCCAAGAATATATTGTCATGTCTGAGTAAGTGCCAACGCCTACCCTGACTCCTTTGGGAAGAATGGGTGCATTCTGTGAGTCACATCCACCGATTTTCAGGGCAAGGTTTCCGAGCATTCAGTGGAAGGCAGTGTGGCGTGGTGAGAAAAGGCGAATCCAGGACTCAGGTCACCTGGGTCCTGGTCCCCATCGATCTACATGAAAGAGGCCGATGGCGCTGCTTTGGTTTCCTCATTTGTAAAGCGCATCAAGTCCGGTCTTGGGTGTGAGCGAGCTTTGTCGCCCACGTTGAAAGCGGTGACCCCGCAGTACCCCAACCTGACCGCGCTTAGGCGCTCTGCCATGGGCGTACCCGCTTCCTGCGCGCTGCGGCGGCACAGTGCCGGGAACCGTAGGTTGCGCGCGCAGCACCTCGGCCGCCTCCCGAACCCCGCGTCCCTGTTGCCAGGGGAACTGGGGGCGGTGCGCTTTCCGGCGCTGTCGCGGCGAGTCGCAGCTGTCATGGCGGAGACGGTCTGGAGCACTGACACCGGGGAGGCCGTGTATCGCTCCCGGGACCCCGTGCGCAACTTGCGCCTTCGGTAGTCGCATCGTCCCAGAGTCCTGTGCTTTTACGCTCTCAGATAATTCGAGCCTGAACCTCACTTCTTGTTTGCTGAGTCCCCACTTGCGCTTTCAACCCTGATCTCTGCCTCCTGGTCTCCCCGCGTCTCCCTCACTACCCTCAACCCTCTCCACTCACGGCTTCCAGACCTACCCACGCCCTTTTCAAGTCTCTGCCCGTCTCGAATTACTCAGAGCTCTGTACCCAATACACTTACCCGCACTCTTCCCCTTAAGACCCCCGGCCGCGCTCCTGTGCACCCAACACACCTTGGTAGCCCCACGTCTTCTTTCTTTTGTTTCCCCCATGTTTGCTCTGTGTTCATCTTCAGATTGTGTCTTGTAATGAGTATTCCGGGCTTTTCTTTTCCTGACAGGGTCCACCTGCAAAGAATCACATCCAGCAGCTTCCTCCGTTACCAGCCTGCTGCCCAGCCTGGGAAGGACCTCATAGACTTGGCCACTTTTAGGCCTCACCCAACTGCCAGTGGGTGTATGGTGGTGATGCGGCCTCTTGGGGACCTGGGGAAGGGCCTGGGGTGGTAGTTGCCTTTTAAGACAGAGTAGACCCAGATTTGTAGTCTGAGAAAAGGCATAGAGAGAGGTTGGGTTCCTTGCCCAGGGTCACATGGCTGGTATATGTTGAAGCAAGGATTTGATCCCAAGCAATTTTAACTACTCAATTATGTTGTGTTAAGAAAATTGAGTAAGACATGATTCTTGCCATCAAGAGCTGATCCAAACTGTGGTCAAATGTTGTAAAATAACAAAAGACTATACTTGTGATATGTTAAAAATCTGCCTGGCAAACTAAATACTGATTGTGGCATTTTTTCCTAAGAGAAAATATGCTCCAAACTCCTAATATATGTGTATACCAAACATATATGTATGTACTATACATACATATATACATAGTGTGTGTATACTATATACATGTATATAGTATATGTTACTTTAAATATGTATGTATGTTTATGCACACTACTTAAAACAATTTTAAAATTGGGGTCTGCTTGAAAAAGGTACGTATTAACATCAACTGTGCTTTCGCATTTTCCTTGTCTCAGAAGCCAGAAGAATGAGAAAGAGAGGACAGTGTGTTTGTGTTAAATCACTGGTCTCTCTGCATTTGTTGTATCTGTTCAGATATATTCCCTGGCGAGAGTGTGGGCTGGTGGGTTATGAAGCACGTGTCTCAAAAAGGCATACTCAGCCAAGAGTATATTCGATTTATTTGCTTTTCCTCTTCTCTTCTGGTACTTGGTCTTCTAAGGTTACAGTGCTTGTGGTTCTAGACATCTGGCTTCATGAACAGTAAAGACAAGAATGCCAGGGTTTTTTTCTAGCAAATGTGGACAGTTGGGATTGAGGAAGAGCTATTTAGCCTATATCCTGAATTTGACTCCTGACACTGAATTAGATTAATTCCTGGGAGCCATGACTTCCTTTTATTCAAATTAGAGTAGTAATTAAGACTTCTTGGGTCCTAATCCTGGCTTCTACATATATCCACAGCCTCTCTAACCTTTGTTTAGAGTGAGTGCTTAATAAATCCCCAAACTCCAGCTGGTTTTGTGGGAAATATTAGAGCAGGGACTTGGGTTATTACCAATACCACAGAGCAAGAAGTGGTGCCGATTTGACTCAAACGTTTGACTCACTCTGTGGTCTTTGGAGGTGGACACCGCTCAGAGGAAGAGGAAGAGGAAGAGGTCGTGATTGGGTGGCAGGAGAAGCTCTTTAGCCAGGTGAGCCCATGCCACTTCTCCATCCAGTTTACCTCCACTGGCTCCACCTCCACCTGGCTGGTAGCAGGGAAGGATTCCTGATACGTATCGCCTAACTGATTTCCAGAAAGTTATAGCAATTTATACTTTCCCCTGTTTTTTTTTTTTTAATTTTATCCATTTATTTGAGAGACAGAGAGCATGAGCTGGGGGGAGGGGCAGAGGAAGAGGGAGAAGCAGACTGTCCGCAGAGCAGGGAGCCCAACACGGGGCTCGATCCTAGGCCCCTGAGATGACCTGAGCCAAAGACCAACTGAGCAGGCGCCCCACCCCTCTGTTGTGTTTAAAGGGCACTATAGCATAGTGACTGACACTCCCCAGTTTTATGATCCTGGGTAAAACACTTTTCACCTCTGGGTGAAATCTGCCATCTGTAACAGCAGAGTTGGGTTAGACTCTCACTGTGGTTCCCTTTAGCTCTACCATTCTTTGAATCCCCTGCCCTCAGTTAGTTCAGATAAGTGGAAGTCGGCTATGGAAACATGCCAAATTGCATCGGCTCTATAGAACTGATTTGATGAAACAGTTACAAGAAAAAAGTTTGACATATTCTCAGTAGATCTCTGTGTCCTTGTGACCTCAGTTTGAAGTAGATCTGTACCGAAATGAAGCAGCCTGTCAGAGCCCTTTGGATCATCAGTACCGTCAAGAGATCCTGAAGCTGGAGGATTCGGGCGGCAGGAAGAACCGACGAATTTTTACCTACACGGACTCTGACAGATACACCAATGTGGAGGAGGTATTTTTTTTTTCCTGGAGCCCCATAGCTTCCTTCTTTCCCTCCCCTAGCTTTCTGGCCTCTGGGTTCTGTGTGTTAAACCAGAAGCCTGTTCAGACAGACACCCTGTCTAGGAACTGCCTTGTGCTGCTGGCGGCCCAGCTGGAGCGGAGTGGGCACGGCCTTCAGGTGGCGTGGCTGGTGCTGCTTTTCTACCTGCTGGAGGGCCTGAGGGAGTGGGCTGTGTCTCTCATGGCAGGCAGACTAGAGACAGGGACAAGACTTCCTCCATGCATCATGAGATGAGACAGCTGGGTGGAGTCTCGAACCATCTAGATAAAACCCATCAGGGGATGCAGCCACAACTCTGAGCCTATGGGTTTGAGGAAGGATTCAGTACAGCTGTGGGGAGTGGCTTAGTGCTCAGTTCGCCTGTGCTCACATACCCTTAATATTTGCCTCAGTCCCTGCATGACTTGTTCTTTCTTAGGGAGATTTTAAACTCCTTGAGAGTAGAGCCTGTATTTTCTGATTTTTGTCTATGACTTTTGTAGCTCTGCAAGGAGCAGGTATTAAATGAGTGTTTTTGAAAGATTGATGCTTATGCTAGGAAAGCGCTGGGTTGGTAGCATATAAAATTTGGGTTTTCTGTTTTAGAAAAGTCAATGAAATTAGTTAGTGCTGAAGTACCCATGGGAGGACTTTTCACAGGATACTTTGTATCCCGTTTGGCATCTTCCAAGTACCTGGTAACATCAGCATCTACCAGGCACACTCACCCAACTTTTTGTTGGTATGTACTCAGAGATTGCAGACTCATTTTATTTTTTTAAAAAGATTATTTATTTGAGAGAGAGAGTGCATGCGTTGTGGGGAAGGGGCAGAGGGAGAGGAAAAAATCAGCAGACTCGGCGCTGAGCATGGAGCTCGGCAAGGGGCTCAATCCCAGGACCCCGAGATCATGACCTGAGGCAAAACCAAGAGTCAGACGCTCAACCGACTGTGCCACCCAGGTGCCTCTGCAGACTCATTGTAATGTTAGCATAAATAAACTCATTTCTGAAGGATAATATGCTGCCAAAATCTTGGAACAAACCAAGGCATGGTAGGAATCTTCTTTGGCTTCTTTGTGCTACTGCTTCCCTCCCCTGACATGTATAACTGTGAGGTGGCTGTGGCCTGTTAGATTCAGGTCCCAGATGAGGTTTCAGAAGCAAGACTTGCCTTCAGTACCCGATCCCACGGGGCCCTGACCAGATGGGTCACACGGGGCTGCTCTCTTTTCCTAGCACTGTCAGAAAATGACCACCGCAGCCCGGGAGGTGCCATCATTCTTGGTCGAACGAATGGCCAATGTCAGGCGGCGACGGCAGGACAGGCGAGGGATGTGAGTGCAAATGAGTAGGGGGTTGGGGGGGCCTTCATAGTCCTTCCAGGCCAGTGTCTGGGTATGTCTGCCACCTCGAGCTTCCCGTTCTGCAGGAGGCCTCCCCCGGGTGTGCTCCCCCGGGTGCCTTCTTCGGGCTTTTCAGGGGGTGCCACCTTCCTGTGGTGTCTTCCAGGGAAGGTGGCATCCTCAAGTCACGAATTGTCACCTGGGAACCCTCAGAAGAGTTTGTCAGGAACAACCATGTCATCAACACCCCTCTTCAGACAATGTACATCATGGCAGACCTGGGGCCCTCTGGGAAGTGAGTGAGGCCCTCACTGCCCAGCTCAGATCCTCCTCTTCTCTCGTCACCCATCACCTACCCTCTTGTAGTCCCCCCTGGGGAATGCGCGAGGGAGGGACTATTTCTTCTTTTTCTTCTCAGTCGGACTCAGAAAAAGGTATTTGACTATGACAGTTCTCACTGTAGCCTCTGTCCTCTCCCCTGACGTGGGCTGACTACCTCTTCCTCTCTCTGGTTAGTGGGACCAGTGGTCCTGAACCTGGGTGTTGATTCCTGGTGTCTAGGCTTGGCTATAAGAAGTCTGAACATGTCCTCTGTACTCTGAAAGTGGACAGCAATGGTGTGATCACAGTAAAACCTGACTTCACTGGCCTCAAAGGACCCTACAGGTGAGAGGAAGAAAGGGGGAGTGGGGACTGGTATTCCTTCCCTTGGCTTCACTTCTTGCCCCGAGTTGAGGAGATTCTGAGAAAGTCCTTCATCTGCCTTGGTTTCTAAATTCCCAGCCAATGGTTCATATTCTGTTTTATAACAGACCCTTAGGATCCTGGGGACTCTGTTCTCGGAAAGTGGGCAGCTATACCAATTTGAAAGGGCTAACTTCAGTGGTGTAGTTAAGTGAAAATAATTCTCTGTGCTGCTGCCTGTAGGGACCAACCAGAACGGGGTGGGATGAGCTCAAGCAGATCTCTTCCTCTGGCCTGACTGTTCCTACCTCCTTGTCTTACAGTAAGAGAACTATAATTAGAAATGACCTAAGCCCACCTGTCTGTTTTTCAGGCGAGAGTACTGGGTGCCGGGAATGTTGTGCTTTAGGGTTTCCCCATGACTTTGAGGCAAAAATGGGCCCCAAACCTATGCTCCATGTCCACTCCAACGCCCTTTCTGCCTTTCCACTTTGTTTCCCTCGCCTGCTCATCGTTCTGGCCACTTAAATCCTCGTTTGCTTCGAGTGAGGTGTATGGCCAGTGGTGGTTTATCCCTGGACTAGGTCTGGAGAGACGCATCTCTTATCAGAGTTGGTCTTTTTGTGGCTTTGACCTTACAGAATGGAGACCGAGGGGGAGAAGCAGGAGCTGTGGAAGTATACGGTGGACAACGTGTCCTCCCTCGCGCAGCCAGAGGAGGAGGAGCGGGAACAGCGCGTGTTCAAGGATGTGAGAGCGACTTCCTTCCAAGCGCAGGGATGAGCCTGGGTGCCTGGGAGCTGAGACCATGTCCGAGGTTGATGTCCGCAGTTGCAGGGTCTTTCTTACTGGCCCTCTCCTGATACAGGACGCATTGCTGACATATCAGACCGAAGCTTTTGATCATACTCTAACATAATAATAATAACAATGACCATTTATTTGAGCATTTACCATGCTCTGCGAGGCCTGTCACGTACTTCATTTCATCACTTTGAGGTGAATACTTTTGTTATTGCCATTTTATAAATGAGGAAACTGAGATTGAAAAGCTAAGAAGTCTGCCCAAGGTCATGGGGCTTGTAAGTGCAAGAGACGGGACTGGGTCCCAGACCAGCAGACTCCAGAGCCTCTGTGCTTTACTTTAAAATGTCGGTGGCTTGGATGCTTCGGCCTCCAGCTCTCTGTCGCATTTCCCGTTACAGCATCTTTTCTCCGTCCCATTCAGAACTGACCCTGGTCTGGCTGGGGTTGCATCTTGAGTTTGCATATCGTTTGTTTCCTCAGCTTTATGGCCGGCACAAGGAGTATCTCAGCAGCCTCGTGGGCACAGACTTTGAGATGGTGAGTGGCTTGGCCTCCTGCAGCACCACGAGCCAGCTTTAGGCAGAGCATTTGGACCGTGACTGAGTAATAGCACCTCTCTTAAAGGACATATTCTTTATGTCAGAAGGAAATCAGAGACCAGCATATAGAGCATAGTTCTTATTATGTGTTTTAAAATATAGCAGGGGTGCCTGGGTGGCTGAGTCGGTTAAGCCTCCAGCTCTTGATTTTAGCTCAGGTTGTGATCTCAGGGTCATGAGATTGAGCCTGGTGTTGGGCTCCATGCTCAGCAAGGAGTCTGCTTGAGATCTTTTCCCTCTATGCCTCCCTCCCACACCCCCTCACTCGTGCATGCTCTCTCTCTCTCAAAAAAAAATAATAAAATTAAATATAGCATATTGACAGAGAGCTGTTAATGAAAAAGACAATGCCAGTGAAAAAGTTCTAAAAGGCCAGACGTGCTGTGGGTGGCTTTCTCTGGGGTGGGGGTGGGGTTGGGAAGGTAGATGGGTGTTGGATGGTGAGAGGGATCTGTCAGAGATGTTTACTTTTTATTCCTTAAACTTAGTGGTTTTCAATTTTTATCAGTGGTAATGCATTCACATATTATATATAATTAATTAAAAAAATATAAAGATGAGCAAGGTCTTCCTCACTCTTCATGTGGATATTTTTCCTAAGTGCCCCATAGAGAGAGAAGGGGCATCATTTGTTCGTTAAATAGTGAGCTCTTACACAAACAAAACAAAATAATTTCTGTCAGTTATTCTGTGGTCCTGTTCTTTGTCTTCCCTTATTCCAGCAGTTCCATTCCTCAATCAGGAGACAAGCATAGGATTACTCAGCGGTTTCCCTCTCTCTCTCCCTAAAAAAAATTCATTATTTTTGTATTGCATCAGCAGCAGATGTGCAGTGTTAGAAAGTTAGATAAGAAAACAGAAGTAATTAAAAAGGAAACTCCCTAGTTCCTTGACCTCAGGCACCTAAAGGGAACGGCCCCCAGCGTCCCACTGTTGGTAAAGGGCAGCTGTGCTTGCTTCCCTTGGCTATTCTTGTAAACTCTCCGTGCTTCGTTGCCCACCTCACCCTTTAAGTTATGTACTTTCTTTGCTGTTACAAACTTGAGAAATGAAGGAGACAGGTCGGTGGAGAGGGGTCGGGGCGAGGGCCGGGGGTGCAGAGGACGCGCAGTGACGGTGCGCGCAGATCTGGCCGCCAGTGCCGGGTCTTCCGGGGATTGGTGGACGCGCTGGAGGATGAGTGCTGACTCTCCCAGACCTCCTGACTCCTGATCCTGTCGCTCTTCTCTCTTCCTTAGACTTCCCCAGGTGCCCTCCGGCTCTTTGTAAATGGAGAAGTAGGTAAGTGCCTTGCCGGACAGAGATCCCTTGATGCTTGGGCAGGTGCCCCGACAGAGCTGCGAGGTAAACCCCCTGCACCCCGGTGGAGGGTCTGATTTGTCTGCCCTACTTGGGAAACACAGTCATGAGGCTTTGCTGGAAGTGCAGGGAGTTCCTCGCGCTCAAGGGACTTGCTCCCTGAGGATGTAGGCCTTTCAGGACGGGGTTGGGTGCCAAGGGGGGCAGGAGAATAAGCTGAAATCGTTTCTTGTTTTCTCAGTTTCGGCGCAAGGCTATGAGTATGACAATCTCTATGTCCACTTCTTTGTGGAATTGCCAACCACAAGTAAGTAGTCCTCCTGTCTCCTTTATACCCATTCTGACAGTTTTCTAGAGGCATTCAGTCAGGCTTCCCCACTTTTTTCAAAGATATTGGGACTGTCCTTTTCAAGGTCATAGATCACTTTCAAGTTGTCAAATCCTGTGGTGACACCTCTGCATTCGCCCTACATGACCTCTCAGAAGCACGTGGCACAGCTCACGTCTCCTCATTGGAACTCTCCTCTTGGCTTCTGGCTCCACACTCCTCTCTTCACTCTCATTAGTGACTCATCATTCCCCTTGGCTGTTGGCTTATTTGTTGGTCTCAAAGCTTTAGAGTGTCCAGGGCTGGGCCTGGGCCTCCTAGTACTCCCTCTCTGTAGTCTTTCTAGGTGGTCCCATCCATCCTATGGCTTGAATACTACATATATGTCTCAGACCTCTAGATTCCTCTCTAGCCTTGGCCTTTCCCCTGAACTCTAGGCTCATATCCAGTTGTCATTCCTGCCTAACATGACCCAAAGGACTCTTGATCCTCCCTCCTGCGTCAAACCTGCCCTCATGGTCTTCCCTAAGGGACATGGCAATGTCATTTACTTAGTTGCTGCTGCCAAAAACCGAGGAGACACCCTTGATTCCCCTACGGCCAGTCATTCCATCAGCAGTTCCTGTCGGCTCTGTCTTCCAAAGATGTCCCGAAGGCTCCTCTCTCTAGCGCCCTGACCAAGCCACCTCCATCTCCTGCCCAGGCCCATGAATTAACTTTCTAACTTACCCCTTGGCTTCTGTTACAGTTCCTTTGCCACAGACACCACAGCCAAATGGAACCTTTGGAAATGTAAATTAGTTGTATCTCTCTTGAGCTTTAAACGCCAACAGCTTCCCCTCCCACTTACAGTAAAATCCCAGCTCCAAAGCGGGACAGGCCGGCCTCTGCCTCTCTCTCTATCCCTTCCAGCATTCCAGTCATACTTTCTGTTTTCGAACATGCCTGGACTAGGGCTAAATCTGGTTTCCTTCCAATAAAGCTTATGGATTTACTGAGATCATTTCCACCTTAGGGCCTTTTGGGGATCATTTCCTTTGTCTGAAACCCGTTCTGTCATGTCTTTGCACGACTCAGTTCAGGTCTCAGCCTAAGTGTGGCCTCTGAGAAGTCCTCCCTCACCACCCGATCTAAAAGAGCCTGCTTTATTTTTAGTATAGCATCTGTCACTACCTGACAGCCTCTTGTTGGCTTGCTGTCCGTCTCCCCCACCAGCTGGCATGTTAGCTCCTTGAGAGGCAGGGATCTCTTCTGTTTGCTCACCAACATATCCGCAGTGACCGGTCGTAGCACATAGGAGACACTCAGTATATGCTAAGTGAGTGATGGAATGTGCGAGTGAATGAACGGATGAAGGAACTTTGTCTTTTTCTCAACCACTTGCCTTCCTTCCAGGTCAACTTACTATATATGGTCTTTGGCTTTCAGATTGGTCAAGCCCAGCATTCCAGCAGCTCTCAGGAATAACACAGACCTGTGCCACCAAATCCCTGGGAATGGTAGGGAAAACAGGAGGGCTGTCTGGAGGGGGGCGGGACTCTGAAGATGATCGGGCCGCCAGCCTGGGGAGCACTCAGAGTTGGGTCTGGCCCTTCTCTCTGGACTCTGCAGGGCTGCCTGGTCCAGAGCTTCCCTCTCTGTCTTTCTGAGGATGGTAGCAGCTTGTATGTGGATGCCCCACCCCCTCTTAGTCTCTTATTTCCACTGTGGGGGGATAGGTTTTCCTTTTCCCTTGTGAAGGTGTCAGCCGCAGGGAGAACAGATTCGCAGTGAGGCCTTGCCTACCCCATGACCCTAAGTATGAAATAACACTTCTCTTTTTTAGGATAAGGTGGCTTACTTCTCCTACCCATTCACATTTGAGGCCTCCTTCCTCCATGAAGACGAATCTGTTGGTGAGTGGCTCAGCAGGTCCTGGGCCCAGGCTCTCCTCTGGTGGTGCCGTCTCTTGGGGAAGGCCTCCTGTGACCTGGCTGCTTTCACTTCTCCCAGATGCTCTCCCGGAGTGGCCTGTGCTCTACTGTGAGGTCCTCTCGCTGGACTTCTGGCGGAGGTATCGTGTGGAGGGCTACGGCGTTGTGGTGCTGCCCGCCACCCCAGGTGACCTCTCGTCCCTGCCCTCCACGTGGCCCACGTGCCCTAGCTCCTAGGAATGAGACTAATGCTTCTAAAACATTCAGGATCATTAGGAATTAGAAGCATTTAACTTGCCAGGTCCCTTGCTCCACAAGAGACAGCTGAGTGAGGTTGCAGCTGACTCGGAAGCTGGGCAGCCTGGGCGTCTACTCCTACTCCGAGCTCCCCCGTTTTGACTTGTGGCCTTGAGGGAGGAGCTCAGGCAGGGTGGGCTCTTGGCATCGTGTATTGAATGGATCAGCATTCGTTTTGAAATAAGATCTGCCGTCTCCTGTTGGGTGCTGGGCATTGTGCTAAGTGCTTCTCATTTGATTCCGCCAGCCACTCCGAGATGTAGGCGTTACCATTGCCATTTTACTAGTGAGGGGAATGGGGCTCAGAGGGGTTAAGAAACTTGTCCTGGGTACACAGGTCATAACTCGCAGAGCTGAGATGTGAATTTCTAGCTGACTGATTTCCAAACAGGTGCCCCAGACCTCCAGGATCCCCTCACCAGAGGTCAGGTCGTCCCCAGACAAGGTGTTTCAGTGGTGGCTAGGCCTGTGTCATTGTGGGGAGTCAGTGAGAAACCACATGCCCTTTCTGGCTGAGGCCCCAGTCTCCTCTTTCGTCACAGGCTCGCACACCCTGACAGTCCCCACATGGAGGCCCATGGAGCTTGGCACAGGGGCTGAGCTGAGGAGGTTTTTCATTGGCGGCTCTCTGGAACTGGAGGACCTCTCCTATGTGTGGATACCAGGAACCTTCAAGGTGCCTTTTGTCTCTGGGCAGACTTCATGCTGGGAGCTTAGGTTCCTGTCTCTTCTGGAGAAGGTGGGATCAGGGTTAAGGCCCCTTAGTTGCTTCATTATTACTTAGTCCCTTCCTTTCTGTGGCTTCAGCTGGAGGTCACAGGCACATCTCGGGCCAGGTACAGACATCTACGCTGCTGTCCTAGGAGATCTCAGGAAATGAGTATACTTAGAGATGGCCCCGGTCCCGTCAGAGTTACCGGCCCCTCCTTCCAGCCCATCACCGAGGCTTTAGTCATCAAAGGCAGGGAGGATTGGCAGGCCACTTGTCAGACTGCTTATTCTCAAATGGGTTGGGGCGTCCCCTGATTTACAGTTGGGAGCCCCGCGTTAGCCTTGAGGTGATGGAGTCCGGGGTGCTGGACTGAGATGTCCCCCAGCAGATCTGTTCTCCGAGAACGGGAGTAAGAATGGGGGTGAGGTCCGCATGGTGCCTGGGGTCTAGAACCCGCAGAAGCCTGACGCTGTCTTAACTGCATGCCCCAGGGGGAGCGTCTGAGCCGCTTTGGGTTCCGCACTGAGACCACAGGCTGCGTCACCTTCCGCTTGCACTGTCTGCAGCAGTCCAGGTGAGTGACCCCGGCCCTCTGCCTTGGGGAGCCTTTCCTCTGAGGGCTGAACAGCACCTGTGGCCATGTGCTGGGCTTCTTTGCAGGGCCTTCATGGAGTCAAGTTCCCTCCGGAAAAGGATGCGGAGCGTGCTGGACCATCTGGAAGGGTTCAGCCAGCAGAGTTCCGTTCACAGTGTGCTGGGTAGGTTTCCCTCCCCCGGCCACCCCGTATCAGCATGAGCCCCACTCCTCCCCACACCACAGCGGCTGACCAGTGCATTTGCTCCCCTTGCAGAGGCCTTCCGTCGAGCCCGGCGCCGCATGCAGGAGGCCCGAGAAAGCCTTCCTCAGGACCTGGTGAGCCCCTCGGGGACCATGGTTTCCTAGCTCACGGCGGCCCTGGCCCCCCGTGCAGGAGGACAAGATGGGTGATACGTGAGGCTGGTGCTGTCCGCCTCTTCGTCTTTCTCCCCAGTGACCCCACTGGCCTGCCGAGAACCAGAAGAGCTGAGAAAGTCCCGGGCCAGACCCTCTGCCTAGTCTTTGGCAGGGCCAACCCCCTGCTGGGTAGCAGTACCGCTGGAGACCCTACAGTCCCCCTCTGCATGTTGCAGTTACTGCGAGTGGCTGTCATGACAGGGCAGGCTTGTTGGGTTAGCCCAGTGTGGGGTGACCCCACCGTTAGTTCTGTCTGCAACACGGCCTCTTCTCTGGCTTGTCTCACTGCCTCGAGGGCAGAGAGCTGCAGGTGCCTCCTGCTTCACAGCCTTCACTACAAATGGAGGCTTAAGAAAGGAAGAGGAGAGAGATCTTGAATGCCTGGCCTGGGAGCCTCAGCCGCCTCTTTCCAGGGTAGCCTTGTCCTGCCGCTTGGGGTGTGTTGTGTTTGAGATATGAGTAAATGAAGGCTGAAGGCAGTGCCTAGTCCTTTCTGCTAGCCAGGTAGTATCTTTTATTGTATTTTTTGTACATAAAGACTTTTTGCACTGACTGACGTGTCGGCTGTTTTTCTGCTCAGGTTGCTGGCATGGCCAGGGTATTCTCCCGAACCTTCCCCTTTTCTGCTCTTTCCAACTCCAGAGTGTCTGGAGTCAGCCTGCAAGAGAGGCTTAGGGGTTAGTGCCAGTGGGGTCCTGGCAGTGCTCCTCTTAAATGTTTGGAGCAAAGCACGGGACTGAGGTTATGCCCTCCCCCGCCTAACGCAGAAACCAGCTCTTGCCCTCAGTGGACTTTTATTGGTACAAGCAGAGCTCACTGCCTGGTCTGCAGGCTTCAGCAGAGGATGGTGGGGCGGCTGGGGCCACGTGTGGCATGGGCTGCAGTCATGGGTGGGGGATGGGGACAGGCTGGGAAATAGAAAAAAGAGGCCAGAGACCATGCAGATGACTCTTCTTGCCTGGGCCTCAAGACCTCCTTGCACCCGGAGCTGATGCCTGACCTAAGACCTGGGAGGCTCCCAAGGTGGGAGGGTTCACTGCTGCCAGGAACCCTGGCGGTCACTCCCAGCCACAGAACCAGCAATGAGCCAGAGCCAGCAAAAGCGTCAGCAGTTGTGGTTGCTCCAGGGGAGAAGGCAGCCTTGTGGTCTTCCCCAGGTTCTCTTGTGTCTGAGGCCAGAGGCTTGGGATGGGCTCCTGTGGAAGCAGCACACATGGGCAAGTGAGGAACTTGCTGGGTGTCCAGGCATGGAGCTGTGTTAGGGTGCTGACAACGAAACTGAGGCTTCCTAATTGCCCCCCCAAAGTCCTAGGCCTTGGATCAGCTCTCTGTCCAGAAGCTAGCATACCGGGAAGCCGGTAGGGAAGACTACCCTGCTTCTCGTGACAAGTTTGGTTGTCTCTGCTTAGAGGTCTTAAAAGGACTCAGCCATCTGGTCTGGGAAGGATGTTGGAGGAGGGCCTCCCCTTACCTGTAGAGGCCTCATCTGCCTTGCCAGGCTGACAGGTTCAACCTGGGGATGCGGGTGCAGCTCACAAAGTCCTGCGGGTAAGTGTTGGCCCTGAAGATGTCCCTCGAAACGGTGGTGATGCCGGTATTGTCACACACAATTCGAGACAAGGAAATCTGGTGCAGGGCCTCGCGCTGTCTCTTGGTGAAAACACCCTGCTTTTCCCACCAGAACCTACCGAGACAAGTTGAGAGATGTGGGTGAAGGTTAGGGAGGAATGAACATAACGAGCACCTGTGGTATGCCAGGCACTTCACATTATTTCATTCAATTCTCCAGAATACCTGCAAAATAGGTATTATTCCCCATTTATAAATGAAGAAACATGTTCAGCAGTCAAGGAAATTGCTCAGTATAGGGTGCACAGTAATTTAAGTGGCCAGGGCTGGATTTGAACCTGGGTAAATGCCAAATCCAAATAAGGAGTCAGGTCTTAAACCATAAGCTTTATTGGAAGGAAACCAGATTTAGCCCTTTCTGCCCATGTTTCCCGGGACCCACTAGCCAAACAGCTCAGGCACCGTCAGGCTTGCCCAGCCCATGGTCTCTCTCACTCTGACCAAGCTCTCCACGGAAGAGCCTCCTGGTCTCAGACCCTGTGAACCTGGAAGAAACGAATCAAAAAGGGCAATTTCCCCCTTGCTGAGTCTTGACTTGCTAGCGCTTTTCTGCCCTCTGGGGCTGGTCTCTTTAGGGGAGGGTCCCTTACCTGTCACCATTTCGGGCTCTCCTGAACTGGTTTTCAAAAAGACAAGCCAGAAGAGGCCCTACTCGGGCCCCTGGCAAAAGAGGCTCTGCGATGGCCCCAATCCAGATATCAATGTTGTCAGGTGTCCCATACAGATTCAGGAACTTCCTCGCCAAATCCCGGTTTTGCAGCACCTGGCTGAGCTGTGCCAGATTCCGGGGCTGGGAGAGCCCACAGAAGCGCCTCCAGGCATTGTACCCTGTAGGGAAAGGGGGCAGAGGCGGTTCAGTCTTACCTTGCTGACTTCCCCGTAGCTTCTGCTGCTCCACAGTTTCTCCCAAGAGAGCTCTGTGGTCAGGAAATGTCGGGCAGAACAAGATCCCTGCTGACAGAAGAGGCCGAACCTTCCAAAGATCAAACCACTGCCCTTTAGTTTTCAAAGTGAGTAGACAACCATGCTTTGCGTGCATCAAACTGAGGAGTGTGTCCTAGTGTAACACCCAATACCACAAGGATATTATTATTGGACTCAGGTGCATCAATTATGTACAAATAAGATGGACCCAGAACATAAAAGACTCTGGTTTAGAGAAGGAAGGAATGAACAAATACATAGGTGAACAAACCAAGAAATGAAGAGCATGGTTAAAGTTTACTCAGAAAAGGACCACATGCTGTATGATTCCATTTACATGAAAGGTCCAGAATAGGCAACTATGTAGAGATAGAAAGATCAGTGATTGTCAAGAGCTGGGGTGGAGACAAGGAGTGACTGTTATTGTAAGGTTTCTTTCGTGAGTGCTAAAAATGTTCTGACATTAGCAATGGTGATCAGTGGGCCAAAGACCTTAACAGACCAAAAAAAAGATCAATGCACAACTCTAAATATACTAGTCATTGAATCATATACTTCATATGGGTGAATTTTATGATACACAAATTATATCCCAATAAAGCCATTTGAAAAAATTTTTTCACCTACAATTCCTCTGCTATTAGGATCCCACACCAGGACCAAGCCAGATGATGGGGCAGGGACCATCAAGATAGGAGATAGATTTGCCCTAACCTTGAAGAACCACCTGCCCCATATTGTCCATTGAACTACACCTCACCAACACCACCTTCCAGCTGAGCAAAGGGAAACGATATAGTGCTTTACCTCACTAAGCACTGGTGTGTGATAATCTCTTAGGATCCTCACAACACCTCTGCAAGGCACTTTGTAATCTCCATTGTATCAAATGGGTATTTGCTGAGCTTGAGCAACTGTGACTTCCTTAAGGTCACTCCACCAGTAAGTGGAGTTCAAACAAGCTTCTCCAATCCCAAATTTGGTGTTGGACTTGGGAAGGGGTTGGAGGAGACTGTCAGAGCTAGTATCCGGACAATATTTCTGTGACAGCTTAGAGGGAAAGGTACTGGGGGGGAAGTTGGCACAGAAGCGCACGGTGTGGCACCTGGGTGGCTGGCAATCTCAGTTGTCCAGCAGGGGGCGCCCGCGGCTCTTTAGTGGTCGGGAGCCCCCAAGTGTGAGGAGGAAAGAAGAAACAGGTTCTTGAGCACCCGCTGGGTGCCTGCCAGGTGCTGTGGTAGGTGTGGTGGAGATTGCCCCCACCCTGTTATACACAGCCACAGATGAGCTGAGGCAGATGCGACTTCAGGTTGTAGACAGGAAAGTAGGGGAGAGGGAGAGGGGACAAGGTGGTGACCAAAGCCTTCCCCTAACATTACGGCTTGCACAGGGGGAATAAAGGAGAAATTCTGAACTTGACTCAAATTTTGCTACTTCCTAGTTATGTGGCCTTGAGAGAATGACCAGATGTCTCTGAGCTAATTTCCTCATCCATAAAAATGACTGTAATAGTTGCTTCTCAAGGTCATTGGCAGAACGAAATGATTAATAGCCGTGAAAATTCCTGGCAAAGTGCCTAAGTTTTCTTCTTTCCTAGGATACATTTTTCTTCTTTCCTAGGATTTTTGTGTCCTCAGGAAACGGCCGAGGCCATCTTCAGTTTACTCCACCTGTTCCTACCTCTTGAGTTCTTTGCCTTTCTGCACTTAGAGCCAGGAGCCAATTCCTATGTCCCTGGAACTTGAGTCTTCCTCCTTGGAACTCACCAGGGTAGCGGGGAATGGAGCATTTCTTCTCTGCCCTTTGAAACTACTGTTTTCTCCACCTGGAAAGAGCTAATCTGCTTTGTCCACAAGCAGATCGTGTCCAGGTCCTGGTCATGCTCTGAACCTACAGCTAGAGGCCCTACAGTGGCAGGTGAAGATAGGGCAGGATGGCAAAGGGTGGTCCCAGGGATGCTTTCCTCCATCAAGCTCGGCCTCGCATGCCTCTCAACCACAGCACACAGGGTAGAGAGTTCCAGCCAGAAAGGATGCACCAAGGGTCTTCTCTGAAACCTGCCCCCCACCCCCAGTAGCAGCAACCCCAGGCCAAGCAAAGCCCCCTCACCTGGGAGGCCGTGGTCCCGGCTGCGCTGCATGTTGAGAGCCGCCAGGTCCAGCCCGATCCTTCTCACTTGCTGAAAGAGCCGGTCCCGCAGCTCATCCACTAACATGGAATCCTGACGGTTTAGCTTGGCGGGGGTAGCCATGAGGCCTCGGATGATGGGGTCGATGCCACCTGGTGGCGGGGAATGTGAGCAGCACAGATTGGATCGGCCTCTGGGGAGCCCCTGGGTCATCACATGACGCCAAGCTAGCTCAGAGCTGGACAAGCCAGTCGCTTATATTCTGTAATGTTGCCTGGGTAGACTTGAAGCGAGCTGGGGCTGGCAGGGAAAGAAGTCACCCCCACTTCTTAAAGAAGGAGCAGAAGGCAACCTCCTCCCAGGCCCACAAGCCCCCAGTCTGACATGAGTCTCCTCCCCTTTGTGA